GATTAATGTTTATTTACTTTTACTAGTATAATTCATTCAATTTGTTGCATAAGATTTGTTTGTTGCTATTAATTGAATGCTTAGATTAGGCATGGTGTTGGTTGAATTTATCAGTTGAACATATACGGCATTTGGATGCTGAAATGCCGAAGCTTTTATATAATTAAACTCAAAGTTTGTTATTTCTTGTACACTCTTCCCCCTAATCTATATAACAAAAACAAACGAAGCCTTTATTCCAATAAATTTGGAGTTGTCGAAATTAATACTTTTTCGTCACTCTGTTCAGTTTGATGCTAGATTCCAGAGTTGATCACTTACAACCAATGGGTCTTTGATCCTTGGATAAGAAAAATGTTTAAAGGAGATTGGGCATGTCCCTCGTAGTCGTTTCGCATGGATATTATTATATTTTACTTCCTTTGCATGACTGATTTGTGCCTCAAGGTGGAAACATCCATGCAATTGAATGCCATGCACCCCACCCTGTGGAAATACACTTAGTTTCTCTTAAGGAAATGTCATAGAAAAATTGTGACGGTGATTGATTGTTGATACTGCAAATGGATGCAGAGTTATTGGCTAGGTAACTTGAAATGCATTGATGGGTTTGGGGAACGCTAAGACTTTGATCCATTAGGGAAATGGTTTGATTTTTAGGCAAATATGTAATATGGATCCCATGCAATCACCTATAGTCAGGTACTTACTGCTTGTTTGGTGGTGGGGTGGGGGAGGGAGCATCAGCTAGATTATTAGGATACACAACTTAGCAGTGCTCTGTGCATATATGAAATTTAGTGCTTCTATTAATTCTTGATCATGTTTATGCAGCAGATGAAGAACCGTTAGACTCGGTTTCTCTCGAATCTGGAAAGAAAATTAAAATTTCTTATGTTCCCAGGAGATTGTTAATTGGAAATGAGGAGTAAGTTCTCTTACACTTGAATTCTCACTGCAACTTAAAATTCTGGAAAGTTGAAAACTAAGAAGATAATGAGATTGTATGTCTTTAAGAAACTGGTTTATGATATGTGCCTTGTACGTCCTAGATATGTGCGAATTGGAAACGGCAACCAGCTGGTTAGAGACCCCAAGAAACGAACCCGTATCCTTGCAAGCGAGAAAGTTCGTTGGAGTTTGCACACTGCCAGATTGCGATTGACCAGAAAGAGAAAATACTGCCAGTTTTTTACGAGATTTGGGAAATGCAGTAAAGATGATGGGAAGTGTCCTTACATCCATGACCCATCAAAAGTCGTGGTCTGCACAAAATTTCTGAAGGGCTCATGCTTGAATCCTGAATGCAAATTGACACACAAGGTATGATGTGATTCTTGTTCAGTATGACAGTCTTTTTACGCCTCTCTTTTGCATTTTTTTTTCTTTACTCAATATATCATACAGGTCATTCCGGAGAGAATGCAGGATTGTTCATATTTTCTGCAAGGTGTGTGGGGATATATATATATATTTTTAATGGATTTGTTAAATTAGTTAATGGTCAGAAGGCTAACTTATTTTTTTGACAGGGTTATGCTCTAATAAAAGTTGTCCTTATAGACATGTAAATGTGAACCCAAATTCATCTATTTGTGAAAGTTTTCTCAAAGGCTATTGTGCTGATGGCAATGAGGTATTGCTTGTTTTTGCCTCTAATATTCTCTTGAAGTTTAGATATTTGACCTGCTGTGGTGGATCATTGTAATGGGTAAAATTGGGGGGTGGTCGCTGTCCTTGATAGAGTGTTGCAGCTTCCAGTATCTGGTTTTAATCAATGCTAAATGCACTCTCACACAATCTCATACCTTGTGCACTGACATGTTTGGTACCTGATTTAATCATTGCTTACATGAACTCGCAACACAATCTCATTCCTTGATCACTTGCGTGTTTGGTAAGTAGGATTGGGTGTCGGTTGAGGGCATTAAAGAAGGAAAAACAGGAAAGTTAAAACCTCGTTTGTTATACTTTCCAGTCCATGCATGCCAAACACCAAGATCATAGCTCTGAACTTTCTGATACTTGAAAAGTACACATTGACATCACTAATTTCTTTGCTAGAATGATCTTTATATAGATATTTATATTTTTCCTGAAAGAAGGTAAAAAAAGGAAAACATGCTGAGTTGGATGACACAACTCCTGGGCGAGGGGACTTTCTTTTTCTGGTTTATAATTATCAACACCCACACCCACATGCACACTACCACTAATCTTAAATCCTGTGAAAATGGATCATATCTCTGTACTTGCAGTGTCGGAAGAAACACACCTATGTATGTCCTGCTTTTGACGCAACGGGCATCTGTCCTGAAGGTTCTAAATGCAAGCTTCACCATCCTAAAAGGAAGAGGGGAACCAAAAGGAAATCTTTGTCTGAGCAGAAGAATATCCGAGGGCGATACTTTGATTCTGAGCCATTTGATATTGCTGAAAGCCAAACAGCCATAATCGAGAGGCTCCCCGTGAAAGGTAATGGTAACATAGCTTGTCAAGAAGAACTTGAAGACTATATTTGTCTAGATGTTGGCCATGAGGAAGTGGAACAAAGTATTGGGCCATCAAGCAAACGAGTACGGGTAGATAGCCCTTTGGAGGCAGAGGTGATTGATCTAGATGAGCTGATAAAACCTATCCGTATCATGAACAGAAGTCAGTTCAAAGGATAAATAAGGCAATGCATCTGTATAGTAACCATTTGTTGTTGCAGTTTTATTGTGATTTATTGATGTGATATCAATACATATTGATTGATAGGTCATAGGTTTAGGTAACATTGTTTTACTTACAGATTTGTAAGAACAAGTTGAGGAAAATGGAAGTTTTGAAGCTTTATTTTCTAGATTTTTGGAATGTTTGGCTGAGATCTATTTGATGTGTATCCAAGTACGTGAGATAAGACCATGGTAGTTTAAAAAGTTCAACTATAAGTTTCAAAACAATTAAATTTTTAGCTGTCAAAAGTTAAAAATGTGAACTATTTATTTGTCCAGGGCTTTTGAGTTGATTTTAAAAAGAAAGTAATTTCTTTTTACTTAAGAAAATAGTAACTTAAAAGTAGCGTACGAGGACAACTTTCTTGTATTCTTTGTATACCCCATCTTCTTCCTACCCACCTCAAAGTAAATGCTACCACACAAAACACCATAGTTGTAATAATAATAATAATAATAATAATAATAATAATTAAATAAATAAAGGGAAGAAGAAGAAAAAGTCACAATGTGGGGGTTAAAGTGTGTTCACAAATAAGTTCTTTATCCACAATTGTTTGAGGAGGTGAAACGTTAGCCTTTCATTCATCCAAGCTTTGGAAAACCCAGAAAGTGCAGAATTGTGAACAAATCATCACCAACAAGCCATGGCAGCAACTTCAACCTGTATGGCTTCAACTACCTTCTCCATGCTGGGATGGAGAAGTAGCAAAAGGGAAGTAAGAAAAAAAAGTGTATTCTCAGTTTCATCTCAGCAAGCAGAAGTCGAAGAACAAGTGAAAACCGAAGAAGCAACAAAAGAAAAGGACACGAAACAGCAGGCAACGACACCCCTAAGGCCAATCGAACCACAGGTGAATGTGAAGAGCAAAAATATGGGCAGAGAATATGGTGGACAGTGGCTGAGCAGTGCCACCAGACATGTTAGGATTTATGCAGCCTATATCGACCCTGAAACATGCGAATTCGACCAAACACAGATGGATAAACTCACTCTCATCCTTGACCCTACTGATGAGTTTGTGTGGACAGATGAAACCTGCAACAAAGTTTACTCCTATTTTCAAGAACTTGTGGATCATTACGAGGTATAAAACTTACTTTTCTTATCACATTTGTGTTCATTCAGTGAAAACATACCAGTTTTTAACATATTGATGTTGTAATGGAGTCAGGGAGCCCCGTTGACTGAATATACCCTTCGATTGATTGGTTCTGATATAGAACACTACATCAGGAAGCTGCTTTATGAAGGAGAAATCCAATACAACATGAATGCAAGGATGTTGAACTTCAGCATGGGAAAACCGCGCATTGGATTTAACTACAACGATGGCCAAATCCAAGATGTACAATAGCCAACAGAGGTAAGATAATCGATACCCCAGAACAAGAAGCTCAACTTCAAAATCACAGAAGAAAAAACATGAAGCATTTGCTTTTATCTATCTTTATCCTAGAGGTGTGTACAAGTCCCTTCACAAGCCTAAATAATTTTCACTGCTGAATCTTTAAATCAAGTTAACCTAGAAAGCAGTATACAGACTAGCAAGAAATTAAGCCAACAAATCCATATTTATGTCCCAGGGAAATAGATTTTCTCCACTGCGAGGCGTGGTTCCTTCCATGGATTGAATGCTCCTTCCCTCGGTAGACACTGATTCAACATGAAAAACAAGTTCTTTAGTCAAAAATTAACTCACGAGTAAAACTATCAATGGAGAACATAAGTTCGTCTTTTTGTAAAATGGATTATTAGATGTCCGATATAGTTTCCATGAATGTAACAAACTGTCCATCTTGGAAAGATTTCCCATTTAGTTATCTCCATCATCTGTAATCTCTTTATACGCAGTAATTTTCGATGCTTAATATATTAAAAAGATGAAACTTATATATAGTTACACCTCACTTGAAGTCAAAAGAAGAATCCTTGCAAGAGTTTCAAGCATCTTGGTTTGTTGTCTTGGCATCTTAAGGGCGCTTCTTTACGATCTGCACACGAGAAGATATACATCTCAAATTAGTGCATGAGAAAAACCTGAATTAATGGAGTAATAAAACTAAATTAGAAGAAAGTTAACACGAAATGACACTTTTCAATTAAAACTAGAATGATAAGATATTCCAGCATTATCTATCGAGTATGTTGGTTACCTCCCATTACAAAATAAGCTTTCGGTTACAGTGCAGATACATTGAACGCACAGGATGTCATATACTGCCGAATTCAGGTTGATCGACATATATCAGTATCATCACCCATAATTAACACAGTGTTCCGCTTAACCACCAAAATTCGTCTATAAATAGAGGTCTGTGTGCAATGTAAGGAAGTTTTTTCGAGAACCTTCTACACACACTTCACACAAAGTTTGCAACCATAATCTTTATATCAATTTTTTTTTAGAAGAAATTAAATTTATTTTAGCTAAAATTTATTTCTCTATTACAAGAAATTCAAAATAGTCATTTTATAGCTAAAAAGCTAGTAAAAATACCTTCTTCTTCTTCTTCTTCTTTTTTTCTTTTTTCCCAAATTTTGTACTTGTTTTGTAAATTTATATTTAATTTAATGTAATATTTTTTGTCAATCAAAAAAGTTTTGAAATTGATTTGAAAAATCTAAACAATTTCCTTCTGTTTCAAAATATATAAATAATAAGAACTGATATATGTGAATTGGACCAATTCATCTTACGGATTCTGAATTTTTAAGCTGATATTGTCCACTTTATCTAGTTGACAAAATTTTGGTCTTGGATTTTCACTCAAAATCCTTCGTACCATTTGGAAATGGTTCTTTATTGCCTCATGTGGCAGGCACCTTGAGGCATTGAAGCCAAAGAGTGGAAGATGTTCAATCCTACCTCGCCTGCAGTCACCAAACGACGACGGCACATAAGTAAGCCCTCATTTGGCCCCCATTTTGTGGAAATGAAAATAGGCTGAATAGTATTTTTTTTTTTTAAAATGAGTGGTTGAAAAAGAAGAAATTTTTTTGATACACATATAGTATTATTTTATGGAAAATTGTGTGATTGAAAATAAGAGAGAGCAAAATGAAATATAATAGAATGAAAATTAACGGGGCTAATGAGTAATTCTCAATTGGTATCAGTTCTTTTGGGAGAATTCACATGGCCTTCCACTGTCAGTGTTTTTCAAAGATCCAGACCATTACACATATTCAGGGGCGGACCAAACATTTAAAAGTGTGGGATCAAAAATTAAAATATAGTTAAAAAAAAAATAACAACATAATATTAATGAAAATAAGTTAATACGTATTTTGATACTTTAAAAAGTCGTATAATTACATCATCATCAATATTATTAAATAATTTTTGTTATTCGTATAGTGTGTTTACCAATTCGTTGACAAATGTTGAGCCGACAGTGAGTAAATCAAATAGAATGTGGAACATAAATGAATTGAAATAAAATCCAAATTTTATCCAAGAAGTAAATTAAATTCAAATTTAAAGTAAATGTAATTCGAAATTAATTCAAATTATATTTAATCCGTAACGATCCTAAAATTTTTGGCATCATATTTCATATAAAATTTCCTAATAAAATGATACAAATTATATTGAAAAATTTATCGTGCAAAAATAATGAACGCTAATGAAATAATTGAATTTTTTTTCAAAGAAAAGATAAGTTAGATTTCCTTTTTGAGACATAGGTTTGACGCATAGATGTCCGTTTGGATCATTCAATATGAGAATGATATAATTTTCGAAATGAGCTTCTATATGATATAGAGGATTTGCGGATTTGAATAACATACAATCGCCGATAAATTTTGAAAATTAGCATATTATCAAAATTCTCGAAATACTTATTTGAAACAGTCTACTTTGACGTATCGTAATTTTTGTTATGGTTGACCATTTCGAATGCCTTTAGTAATCAAAAAATTAGGCCATGAACACTTCAAAATGGTATTAAGAATGCAATACTTTATCTTCATTTGATATCCCATAATTAGTACATCAAAATAAGTCGTAAAGGAATCAAAACAACTGTTTTTTTGTGCGGTCATTTGACCCCACATGACCCATGCGGGTCCGCCCATGCACATATTTTATAGCAGCACCATTTCTATATAGAATGGTATCATCATGGAGATATTTTTCAAGTATGAGATAAAGTGAGGGTGTTAGACGTTGGTTCTAGGGATGGAGATACTTAGCTAGTATGTACAGAAGGGATACATTCGTATAATTGGAAAATACGAGTCATGGGTTGTCCATGTGGGGGTGATCCGATCCGTAAGATTTCAAAAGTGGATAGGAGATAATGTTTTGAATAGAATTCAAATTTTTAATTTCCCTAACTTTCTTACAACACGCATATAAGTCATTGCAACCTCCTAATTGAAGTTATGGAAAAAGAAAAGAAGAAAATAATGAAAATTCGTATGAAAAATGACTAAAAAATAGAAAAGTGCCTATAACCACATATATTGCATGAAAACTCACAAAGTTAGGCATTTAGATTGTGGATTATAATCCTCTTTCATTTAGATTGTGGATTATAATCCCCTTTCATAGTTATATGGATTGAGACTACTGGATAATAAGAAAATGCAAATTTCAAAGTTTATAAAACAAGTCGATTCAACCATTCAAAAGATCTTAATTCGTCAATTTTTGTAAGAACTCTTGACTTGAAATTTATGTTCAAGTATGCTATGAATTATTTCATGTAGTATTATTTCTCTATTGATATTTTGGTTTCCATAGACTGACATGAATGATGTAAAGCACAAGGAAATACGTATGGAACTTAGATAGATCATTTGGAGACTCTAGTACATGGGTCGTTTTATTCCGACTTGTTCATTGGTGTGGGGACTTTGCTATCGTCGTACTTCTTGGAATTTATTTAACTCTTCTTCCTCAGCACCATCTATATTAGTTCTATGGCATAATCAATCGGTGGGATCTTATAAGATCAACACCGATGGATATGTCAAGTATGATTTTGCTAGTGGTGAGGGCATTTATTTTTCGAGACCAAGATGGACATTGCATTAGGGCTTTCTCCTCATCAATATAGAGATTGCCTTATTTTGGAGGCTGAGTTATGAACTATCTTGGATGAGATTTTACTTGTTCGATCGATAGATTATCAGACATTTGGATGAAAAGTAGACTCATCTGTGGCCATTTATTGCAACAGTAAAGGTGGAGGATTATGGACGATTCATATCATTCTCAGACAGATACCTTCTCTCATTCGACCGTGATATTGTTTCCCATACTTCTCTAGAGGGAAACCAAGTTGCCAAATTTACTTGCTTCTGAGGGTTGAGATCAATGCCATTATGAGTATGGACCTCTTGAGTTTCCACGACAACTTCAAGCTCTTGTTCAGATTGACAAATGTGGACTTCCTAGTATTAAATGACGTTAGTTTGCTTCACACCTTTCATTTACTTATTTATGTGTATGAAGTAGTACTTCCTCATTTATTTCATTCTTACATATGTTCTATTGTTATGTTTTTGAAATGTTAGGTTTATATCTCCTTTCCTCTTATTCTCATAAATTTGATTTTATTTACGGTCGGAGAATCCAAATCCCTATCTGTCTTCCTTGATAGAGCTTGGAAATCCATTGAGGTTGTGTCGATTTCTTATTAAAAAAAGGTCTTTAGGATGAAATTTAATAAAAAAAAGTGTGCATATTAGGCACAAGTGAACACTATCGTATCATACTAAATGGATTGGAATGTTAACAAGTATCGTTATGCTACTCCTTAATATGATTAACGAACGACGACACACGATAACTTTACCTTACTAAGAAGGCAACTAATCAACTAAGCAATTAGGTAATTTTCCAAATTAATTGACTACAAAATGTGTGGCAAAAATTTCATTGGGAGTGGAATATTCCCCGGACAATACCATCGTGATTCTTTGAGCAAAAGAAATAGAACAAAATATGGCTTTGTATCGACGCCAATATCAATGTCCCACTCCTTTATCTTTTCCCCATTTTTCTAAAAAGCTTTTTCCCTTTTACGGAGATAAATAAACATTCTTAAAAAATTGAATGGGAGGGTAATTGAAAATTTAAAGCGTCAAGGGTTAAAAGATCTAATTAATACACAAAATGTATAAAAATTCGAGTTCTACGAACGTGGAGCCAATGAATTCAATCTTAAAATAAATAGTACTGATTGAACAACTTTTTATTTTTTTCGTTCTAAACAAATCTCAGTGAAAGAAGCCACCACAAGATATATAGAGTCGACATGAGGTCCTCTAGATTAGAGATAGAGGCGATCAATTGGAGAAATCAAAGCAAAATGAAGCTTCAAGCAATGGCAGTTCTGGATCAACCAAAGGTGCCGACTTCATGCAAGAGAGAATTCTAGTTCATTCATTCCATAATTAACCCATTCTCGAACTAGGTCTTCCCGACTTCTAAAATTTTAAATATAAATCGGTTGATTTTCAAATGAAAATTATTTTACGAATATTTAATGCATGTTCTATATAATGAGTCACATCAAGTTAGAGATCTAACGAAAACAACTGTGCCTATTTTAGTAGATTTTAATAATTATTTTTGATAAAATGTGAGATTAAAAATTGATAAAATTTCCAATTCGAGTCCCCTTAGTATTAATGAGGTGAGTATTCAGTTGTAAACTTTAGGATCCTGTGAGATTAGTCGAGGTGGTATAAGTTGGTCCTGAAATTCATGGTCATAAAAAAAATTGATAAAATTTGTGAATCCGACGAAATAAGTGATTAAAATTAATTGTTGATTTTAATTTTAATTTTTTATTCATGTAACAATTATTTTCATTTTTTGTAATATAAACTCATCTTTTCCACTGTTTCTTGAGGTTACTACTGTCACTCATATCTATCATTAGATCTCCATTCATTCTTTTCGATTTACTCGGAAGTCACTCATGGCAACCTCAACAGTTGGATCAACCGCCGATAGCCTGTCAAAACTTCACATCGACGGCGGCGATGATTGGGCTGCCGCTGCTCCCAACCTCCTCAGGAACCTATCTCTCCTTTCTCCCGAACAGGTGCGTACAACCATACATATAAATATGCAAATACACAGTAGAATTATTGTTATTAAAATTTAGATACAACTGAATGTGTATGTGTAGGTGGAGCTGGCGAAGATGCTGCTGGAAATGGGCCAGAGCCATTTGTTCGAACATTGGCCCGAGCCTGGCGTCGATGATGACAAGAAGCGCGAGCTTTTCAATCAAGTGAGTTTTTGGATCCATATTTTTTTATTCAGTTTTAGTCGTTTATGAATGTTGATGGTAAAGTTGCACACACGTGTACATTGGAAGAGATGAAGGTTTTGTAAAAGTTATGAACTTTTGGTTTTTGGTTTTCGGTTTTATTTATTTGTTTATTTTGCTTTTATGCGCGGATCATAGTACGAGATTTAAAGTTCCCAACATTTTTTTATTTCTGTTAAACATGATATGGACTTTTGCACAGGGCGCTGCTCTCCCTTTTCTTTCCTTTTTTTTGGTGCTTAAATTGCTTAAAATCATTCTAATAAATCAAAAATGATATTTTCCGTTTCCTCTGGTAATTGTAGTATTTGTAATTGATAAAAATGACTCCTGAGTATCAAACTTGTTACAAAAACTTGATTACCTTCTTTAAATTGAAAGTTCATAAATTGGATTTTACTGATGAAGCTGCCTTTTATTGTTGTTCTAGTACAGAAATAAAATTTCATTCTCTTTCTAAAACCCTTTTATTTTGGCATCCACTATTTGAACTGAACTGCTGTCCCTAGTATTTACATCACGAAGTTATGCATGTACAGAAAAGCTGCTGACCATGTGCAAGTTATTGGTTGAGTGAACATTTTTGTCAAGAGTCTTACTGTTCAATTTCTGTTAGGTTGCTCGACTTAACTCAAGTTATCCAGGGGGGCTGGCATCATACATCAAAACTGCTAAGGAACTTTTGGCAGATTCAAAGGCTGGGAAGAATCCATATGACGGCTTCACTCCCTCTGTAATTTGGCCTCTGTAGTTTGCAATTTGCGAACAGTTTATACGGACATGTTTTTGCATATATTTCTGGAATACAGCTTGAGTAATTTGGCAAGTTTATAGGATTTTTTTGCTGACAATTTGCACTGAGCAAGATTTTAAATTCTAGTTTCCTAATTTATTCTATAATTCAACAATGTAAATGCCTTGTTTAATGGCTTAAGGGACGTGATAGTTATTATTATCATTTATATAGGCAACTACCAGTTTTCAGTGGGATTGATGAATTTTGAACTGTGTGAATGGAATAAATGAATAATTTAATTATCCGTGGATAGCATGTCAAAATGGGAGTTTTTATTTTGAAGAAGCTGACAATGATCTGCTATAGGAGATATGCTATTGATTGTTGACCATTAGTTTCTCCTGGTAACCACTTGGTTTACTTTTACTCTAGAGGAGGTTTCTTCTCAGCTCACTGTGCTACATTTTGAGTTCTTTTAATTTAATCATATTCATATTGTAAAGAGTATTCCATGCAAAAAATAAAAAAATAAAAATGAAAATAAAATTCTGCACGCACTCATGATTCATTGATGTTTGAGAGCAAGACAAACAAACTAATTTTTCTTTCAGCAAAGTGGTCATGTCTTGTACATCTTAGAAATAGTGTTTATGCTGACTTCTGTTTGAAAGATTTTTTCATCTTCTCTATTTACATTATTCTTATTTCTCATAGTATTCGTTCTTGATTCTTTTAATCACGAAGCACCCATTAAGCTTAAAATTTCAAGTGTTGATTTGGCTTCATAAAGAGGGCTGATTTCTTTACAATTATCTGTACAGAAACACATTAACCTATCTATGCTATGCTTATTGCATCTTCTTCATAACTTTTTATCTTGGTTGGCTTCTTTCTCCAATGTGCTTCTAGATTTCTTGAAGAAAATTTCTTAACTATTGATTTACCTGAGTGCCTTCTTTGCTCATGTAACATACGGTATTATCCATTTTATATTGGTTTTTCTTTTACTTAATCACAAGTGCTTTCTCCTATGTACACTGTAAAACCATGATTGAGTTTTAAATGTAATAAATACAATAATTCAACAGGTTCCTTCTGGCGAGAGTCTGACGTTTGGCGACGATACCTTTCTTCAATATGAGGATGCTGGTGTCAAGGAGGCACGGAAGGCTGCATTCGTCCTTGTTGCTGGTGGCCTTGGGGAACGTCTTGGCTACAATGGTATAAAAGTAAGTTAGATTACGTATTCCAAATGGAAAATACAAATCTGTCTGGCAATTTAAACAGTTTTTTTTTTTTTAATTATTATTATTTAGTCTTAGGTTGTTATTGTTGTAAAAGGCCATGGATGCTTTTTTGAGTGTAGTATGCATGACCATGATGATCCCTCTAACTAAAAATCAAGCTACTACGTTAGTGCTTGTCGCAGGAAATGAGTCAGCTGCAATCCTTTGACTAAGATTCTCATCCTCTGCAGGTTGCTCTACCTTTAGAGACAACTACAGGAACATGTTTCTTACAGCACTACATAGATTCTATTCTAGCCTTACAAGAAACTAGCTGCAGGCTGGCCCAAGGTTTGTTTACCAAGGTTATTGTTTTGTAGATCAACTTGGATAGTGTATAAACTCTCATTGAGGAGAATGTTGTTTCAAATATGAGAGTACTGGTGCTATAAACATTATAGTTTGTCTCCATATGTATAATTTCTGACAATGTGTGTTTGCTGTATATCTAGCTATGCTTATTTCACCTGGGGGTAGTTTTAGAAAATTAAGAAAATAGTTCAACATGAAATGGATGAAACTTCATCATCTCGGGAAGCTTACAGATTTTGGGCTGTCTGTGTAAGTCGTCTTGTTAATCAATAGTATCTGAATATGGTTTTATTGCATAATTTTTTCTTAAAAATGAGAATAGGTAATAATGTTCAAGGAGAGATTATCATCTTTGTAGTCTCAGTGGATACTTTTCTGTCTTTGAGTTCTTTTTTGAGTAAGCGGTTTTCCTTGTGCGCTTTTGTTGTTCAACTAATATGGTAACATGTTTCTTGACACAAGATATGATACTGGTTACAATCAGCCTCTAGCAAGATTACATCAACAATATAACATGAATGGTTCTAATCTCCTCAATCTGTTCCACTCATATTTGGATCGAGTTCTTTTTTGAGTAAGCGGTTTTCCTTGTGCGCTTTTGTTGTTCAACTAATATGGTAACATGTTTCTTGACACAAGATATGATACTGGTTACAATCTGTAACACCCCAATTTTTTCATTATTTAGCATAAACACGGGAACGTTACGAAAACTCATTTTTCTTTAATTAAAAAAAATGCGTAGCTGATTAAACTCAGTTCCAAGTTGTATGACTGATAAGGGAGTGCATCTGTAGGTTGTCAGCATGTAGTATCTACACCACTAAGTCATGCCACGAGACATATTCGTAGCAAAACCTTTATAACCTAGATT